CCTGGTACTTTTTTCAGTACCACCTCGGTTGAGGTTCCAAGTGAACCGTACCGTTACCAAAACGTGACGTGTAAACTCTGCTGATCACTGATTGGCAGGAGAGAATCGTCACTATCTGCGTCACTGAACTTGCAACACGAGACATAACAGACCCGCTAGATTTAAATCAGCACAGCCAGCGAAAGATCGAACGCAACTGTTTTGAACAAGCGTGCATTTTTTTAACAACTAAAAAATGGCTGTTTCGTTGTCTGATGAGGAAGTACAGACGTTCCTCTCATTGATAGCAGTGGAAAAGCACAATTTGTTTCTTCAGTAGAACACAAACGAAGATTTTTAACTCAAACCGTTGCAGTCTGTCAGTCATATAATGGAGGTGAATGGGAATCACGGCTTTGAGAGTAAAAAAAAACAAACAAAACCAAATTAAACCCTGCGGCTCGTGACTAGGGTTGGGTATCGTTTGAATTTTATCAATTACGATTCTGCTTATCGATTCCGATTACAATGTGATTTAATGATGATATCAGACATTTATCCTGTGTCTCTTTTTTGCAAACCATATATTGGAGCTGAATACCATTAACAAAAATCAACAGGCTACATAAAAACTGGCCTCTTTAAGAGCTGTTTGCGTGCAAAATAGAACTGCATGGTTCTGGATAAATTGAGTTTTTTTCCCTTCCTTTTTCCCCCCCAATGGAAGTTGTGGTTCTCTCATGACGCTGAAGAAAAAACATTAGACAACTAAACAAAATCACATGTAATTTATGAATAAATGATTCAATGACTCACTCAAGATGTACTTGTTTCATTACTGGATGAATCAGCGTTCTTGAACGAATCTCTTGTATAATTCAAAGACAAATACATTTTAACAGCCCCTTTTCGCCACCTACTGGCGTAACAATGCAATTGACAATTCTTCATTTGAAGTGTCAAAATTACTTTCAAAAGGTGATTTACTCTATTTTAATTGCTACCGTACACACGAGAGTTCATCTCTAAACTATAAACTTTTATCCCAGTACTTCAGTGATTTGAATGTTTGTAACACCGAAATAATGATACTGTGTGGTTGAAAAGACTGTGAGGCCTTTTCATTCATGACAGATGACAGCTGCTCACTTTAGGACAAAGGCAGCGCGAACGCTGATTTAAATGTTCAAATCACACTGGTGTGATCGTACTCTGCACGGACGAACCAACAAGTGATCAAAACATTGATCGCACACGTCAAAGGTTGAGGAATGAAACCGACGAATCATTGTAATTTAGGAATAGAATCACGTTGGTGTTTGAATCGTGTTCGCGATCTTTAACTATCTATCAAATTAAAGTGCTTTGTCATGTTGGTGGTGAAGCCTCTCTTGCAACATGTTTAGCTATCACAGATATTATACTTCGCTTTTTTTGGCTTCTGATCGCAAAACTCAAGATGTACTTGTTTCATTACTGGATGAATCAGCGTTCTTGAACGAATCTCTTGTATAATTAAAAGACAAATACATTTTAACAGCCCCTTTTCGCCACCTACTGGCGTAACAATGCAATTGACAATTCTTCATTTGAAGTGTCAAAATTACTTTCAAAAGGTGATTTACTCTATTTTAATTGCTACCGTACACACGAGAGTTCATCTCTAAACTATAAACTTTTATCCCAGTACTTCAGTGATTTGAATGTTTGTAACACTGAAATAATGATACTGTGTGGTTGAAAAGACTGTGAGGCCTTTTCATTCATGACAGATGACAGCTGCTCACTTTAGGACAAAGGCAGCGCGAACGCTGATTTAAATGTTCAAATCACACTGGTGTGATCGTACTCTGCACGGACGAACCAACAAGTGATCAAAACATTGATCGCACACGTCAAAGGTTGAGGAATGAAACCGACAAATCATTGTAATTTAGGAATAGAATCACGTTGGTGTTTGAATCGTGTTCGCGATCTTTAACTATCTATCAAATTAAAGTGCTTTGTCATGTTGGTGGTGAAGCCTCTCTTGCAACATGTTTAGCTATCACAGATATTATACTTCGCTTTTTTTGGCTTCTGATCGCAAATGTAGCCCAACTTTGGAGCGCTTAGGTTAGCGAGCAAGGTCCTGGCAGATCGCTAGGTCCGGTCCTCACAGGTGAAGAAAAAAAAAAAAAAAAGAGCATCGGAATCGATAGGCGGAATCGAAATTTGAATTTGACAACAAGTATCCGATTCTGGAATCAGAATCAATTTTCGATTCCCAACCCTACTTGTGACAATACATTGATGTGTAAAGACACGAAACGATCGGTCTGTGCAAGAAACTGAACAGTATTTATATAGTTTTTTTTACCTCTGATTCACGCAATGTCTGAACTGTCCTGAGCGCGTCCTGAGCTATAAAGCTTCCTGAGCTTCTTCAGCCGGCGTGCGACGTGTCTTCTTTTTGCTTTACGGCGGATCGCAGACTTATAAGTGCATTACCACCACCTACCTCTCAAATGGACCATTGACACTCCTAATTGAGATTGTAGATAGAGTGTCAATGGTCCATTTGAGAGATAGGTGGCGGTAATGCACTTATAAGTCTGCGATCCGCCGCAAAAGACGCGAATGCGAATGCACTCAGGACATTTCAGACATTGCGGTGAATCAGAGGTAAAAAAAACGATATAAATACTGTTCAGTTTCTTGCAGTCTGATCATTTCGTGTCTTTACACATCAATGTATCGTCACGAGCCGCAGGGTTTAATTTGGTTTTGTTTGTGTATGTTTTTTTGACTCTCAAAGCCGTGATTCCCATCCACTTCCATTATAAGACTGACAGACTGCAACGGTTTGAGTTAAAAATCTTCGTTTGTGTTCTACTAAAGAAACAAAGTCACCTACATCTTGGATGCCCTGGGGGTAAGCAGATAAACATCACATTTTCATTTTTGGGTGAACTATCCCATTTAATTATGAATAAATTATAAATACAATTAAATTAATAATTGAAAATTATTTAAATGGAAAAAAAAAATTACTTAATATAATAATTAAATATTAATAAAAAAATTACTTAAGTGAAAAATGGTATTAATATATATTTATATATAGCTTATAATTTTTTTTTGTGTTGAATAATTTGATTATTAAATATTATATTTAATATGTATTATTATTGTATATGTATTCCATGTAAAGATGGATCTCAAAATCATACAGTCACTGCTGGAAAGGGTTCATATATGCAAAAGATGCTGGAAAACTGAAGAATCTGCAGGAGCTGGAGGATTTTGCTGGAGAACAGTGCTCCGTTTAACTGTTCAGAACAAACAAGGGACTCATGAACAACCATCACAAAACATGTGGTGTGGATCATCCAGGTAACCCCACACAGTATTGAGAACCAAGGGTTATTTTAATAATTTCAGCTATTTTTTTGTTTTGTGGACTATATGTAAACATCTTTTATGTAAAATATCTTACTCACGACAGTACTAAATAAAAAATAACATGCATTTTGTATGATCTCTCTTTGTTAAAATTATTCACATTTTCTGCAGGGGGTCCCCAACCTTCAGATTCTTCCTGATTTATGTAATTTATACTTAAGTGAAAAATGGTATTAATATATATTTATATATAACTTATAATTTTTTTTTGTGTTGAATAATTTGATTATTAAATATTATATTTAATATGTATTATTATTGTATATGTATTCCATGTAAAGATGGATCTCAAAATCATACAGTCACTGCTGGAAAGGGTTCATATATGCAAAAGATGCTGGAAAACTGAAGAATCTGCAGGAGCTGGAGGATTTTGCTGGAGAACAGTGCTCCGTTTAACTGTTCAGAACAAACAAGGGACTCATGAACAACCATCACAAAACATGTGGTGTGGATCATCCAGGTAACCCCACACAGTATTGAGAACCAAGGGTTATTTTAATAATTTCAGCTATTTTTTTGTTTTGTGGACTATATGTAAACATCTTTTATGTAAAATATCTTACTCACGACAGTACTAAATAAAAAATAACATGCATTTTGTATGATCTCTCTTTGTTAAAATTATTCACATTTTCTGCAAGGGGTTCCCAAACTTTCACATGCTACTGTATGTATGTATGTGTGTGTGTGTGTGTGTATATATATATATATATATATATATATAAATGTGTGTATAGAAATATCAGAAATCATTATACATTTTGAATCAGTGTTGAATATTTGACTATAAAATCATTATTTAATAACTGTAAAATCATTAATAAATGCATAATATGTAATAAATCAGTATTTCTTTATGCACACTGACTTACTAATTAATTCAAGACAAAACCAGGCAACTATAACGAACACAAAACCCCTGATCCGGCTTCAGGAAACATCCAGAACGGGGTTTTCCATGTGAAGACAGACAAGCTTATTTCTGCAACAGGAAGTGACATCATGTCCCTGGCAACGGGCCAATCAGGAGGAGGAATGAGTCTGCAGTGCATCATAATGCAGTTATGCAGCAAATCATGCGATACACACAACGACCGACACGGATGCAGAAACACCGCAAACAATCGGGACGTGACTGCTTGCCTGGATATAAGCTCTCGTTTGCTCACTTCCTGTCATTGTTGTGCTCTCCTGCTGCACAGGTGCACTATGGGAAGGGCTGGTCGACGGGATAGAAAGCAAACCAAAAAAGGAGAAGGATGAAGAGAAACAGTTTTGGATGCTCCCGAATAATCCCGTCCAAACGGCAGTGGAGTAAAAGTGAGAAATGGACCGCCAAACGCTTCCCGTTCATCTGAGCCAAAGAGAGAAAAGCATGGGGAAATCAAGAGAAAGGTACAGGAATGAGAATTTAAAGGGATATTTCATATTTCATTTGCATTCCAAAGTTAATAAAAGCAATGACTATCTTTCTTCTCTGAAACATAAAAAAAGTTTACATTTGTAATATATATATATTTACATTAATTAATTTCATTCTTTAAATAATGTTAATTTTATTCATTTAATTTAATAAAATATATAGATTTGCACCTTATTTATAATAATAAATATAAACAATTATGAAAATAATAAAGCAAATTTAGAAATGATCTCTAATATTCCTTAAAACGTATAATAAATAAACTAAAATTATACATATAATAAACACGGAGATATTCTTTGAAATATCACCTTTTGCACTTAGGAATGGCATTTATTTATTAATAATATTTCATTATTTATTGAAAAATTATTTATTTATAAATGTAATTATGATTTTAATTTAAACAATAAGTAAAACTAAATTTATTTTATTTAAAAAATAATTTAATTTATATTTACAATGTATATAATAATAATAATGTTACATAAATATTATTATAAAAAACGTATAACTAAATAGTAAACAATTTACACATTGCTGAACAGTCATTAATAATAAATGTACATTTACTGTAATTTATTTATTATTAAAATATAAACGCATGTAAAGTTATAACAATATTTATAAAATTGTATTACTATATTAAATATAATAATTTATCAAATGTATCAAATTATTCAGCATGACCTTCTGATACTAAATTCCTGCACCACTGACTCCACTGATATTTCTAAAATAAAATATAAAAAAATATATAATGGGTTATATTATATTATATATAATGGCTTGGAGCGGTCGAATGGGGCATCTATACAGATCTATGCATAAAACAACAACAAAGCTCTATGGAGGGAAACAATGGGATTTTGACTTCCAGAGTCAGACTGCAGAAAACACAGAGACAGACGGGCTGAGATGAGAGGACACACATGAATCACGCCGGTGAATGATCAGACGTCGCACCTGAGCGTGACCTCGTTCGCAGGACACGCAGCAGCACGTCAAACCCTGCTTTACCCACAATGCCGCGGGGCTCCGAGCGCACAAACAGCACCTGCAGCGGGATGAAGTGTGCAGGTCCGCACCTGTCGCTCGTGCAGCATTGTGCCTGTGGATTAACGTCCCCGACAGCCGCTGAAAGAGACGCCTGCTTTTCTTTCAAACACAGTCACTAAACACAGAATCTCCAGAGGAAAACACATGCTAACAGATCACGAAAGACACAACAGTCTACAGAAATACAGCTCATCACAAGTAGTGTTACTAAGAAATACAACTTTGCTGGTCTCTGCTGATGATTTGACTCTATATTTTATTAATCATTTATTTATTTATTAATAATTAATTATTATTAATAATGAAACACACAAACTTATATATATATATATTAGGGAGGTTTATTGTCCTTATTTTTTGACAGTCTAGCGAAATAATGGGTCAAAACGAGATCATTCTGGCTCTGGCTTTTTACTGCACTTGGTGGAAAACAGAATAGATTCAGGAAGTGCATGCATGTGCGTTCAAGTCACCTCGAGAGGTTCGTATGTGCGAGTTGGGAAGTCGCAATTTCGACATCAGACGGGTTTGAGTCACTTTGATCAATTTATGAAGGTGCAAACTCAACCGTTATATATATATTTAAGTGTACAATACAATCATATTTTACACATGCAGCTTAGCTAGTTTTATTGTAGCCTACATTTAAAAAAAACCCTGCAGTTTTATGAACTGTCTTTAACTGAAAAATGAGTGTTTACTATTGTCATTTTGCATTATTGACACACTATTTTCATAATTAATGCTGTTCAGTTGCTTTGACACAATCTGTATTGTTAAAAGCGCTATATAAATAAAGGTGACTTGACTTTTATAAATTGCGACAAAATTACCATCAACTACAGATGTTGCATGCATTGTGTCCGCCATGTTTCCTCACCGACACGCCCCCAACCGGGAAACTCTGGGCTCAAAGAAAATAGTTTCCCAGTCCAAATTACTAAATCTGCTCTCTGTGACACGGCTTGGACTCACCAGTAGCTCCTGTGCACAGGATAAGTGCTAGCATTCGCAAACATAAGCGGTGTGTTGGGAATAAGTCCAGCGTGTGCTTTTAATGGGTCACAGCGTCCTAGACACACACTTGCTCATGGAAAACCAGGTCGGTCTCTCTCACACACACACACACACACACACAGGCCAGGTGTCTACTGCAGAAGAAAGTGGTTCGACTGCGTTCACACCCGCAGTATTTGCTCGTTAGCACACCGTTAATAACTGCATCAACATGCAGACACAAGCATATCACTATAACGATGACCAAGACTGTCTGTGAACGTAGTGCACACTCATATCGGTGTGAATCTGAGAGGTCACGCGGATTAGACACGGACTAGTGTGTGATTACACACACACACACACACACACACACACACACACACACATATATAGAGGAATGTCTGGAATCAGGAAATTTCTTCACAAACACTTTCTTTTAATAAATAATGAATGCAAGTGTTGACACGCATTCCACAATATGACAAGTTTCCATTCAAATATTTTTTTTTTTATTGCAATTGAAAGAATGACAACAGTTATGAAGTAACATGGGGCATCACATGAAGTTATACAAGCTGCACAAATTAACAAAATATACCAATGATAAAGAAGGAGGGGAAAAAAAGAGAGTCGTCTTTTAAAGATAGCTTACGATAGACTGAACAATGTAAGCCTTTGAGTTCAAAGGATTTGACATTCTTAAAAGGAGTAAAAAGTATGTGTATTTTACTACTTTAAAGGCTTATTTTAGTATAATGACAGATCTTCTGTATCTATGTGTCTGTCTAGCTATCAAGCTATCTCGCATTCGCATATAATTATGTATTTTTGAAATACACTTTTAATGTTTACATTTTATTTTGTAATTCAATTCTGAATATTGGAACTGGATTAACCGCTTCCTGCTGTGAACTGTAGACACAGATTGACACTCAAAACATCCCAAACATGAAGAATCAAGATACAAAACCTGAAAGACATCTGCACATAGAAGCACAAAAATACCCTATATATATATATGTTATTTATTTTGTAGCCAACTATTTACGCATAGGATTCAAACTGAATATTAACCAATGGATTATTTCTCATGTGTAATAAACTCTTTCGGATTAAAAGAATGACAATGAATTCAAATGCAAATGTTAATGTGTGCTAATAGAGAACGCAACGCACGCTTGATCGCACGCGGGAGGCTGCACGCTCGACTGGAGTATCCGAGGAATGCGGAATGATGATCCAGGGAAAACGACGGAAAGAGCTGCCGGGGGGAGTGTTTTATCAGCGTGTAAGGGGTGTTTGTGGAAGCCTGCAGTCGCCCCTGAATCACCGCGAGCTCTCCGCTGGGGAACGCGACGCGTAGGAAAAACCAATAGACCTCCATCGCTCTCGGGCCGCTCGCTCGGCGCTGATTGGGCAGCTACAGGAATTTCAAGCGCAAAGTCAAAGGTCTCTGACTGAGCGATGCCAGCTGCAGTGAGACAGACCGAGGGAGGGAGAGACAGATTACCAAATAAGGTCACTTCTGACCTCTCTCTCTCTCTCTCTCTCTCTCGCTCTTCTCCTGTTTGACCCGCTCGGTCGGGGTGTGTCCTGGGTGTGTCCCTGTATTATGGCACACAAACAGCCTTTCTCTGTGAATGC